CCTTATAGAACCCTTATAGATCCCGTGAACTAAATCCTTATAGACTCTAAATAGTAGCCCTTTAAACAGGCAGAGCCTCCAGCATCTCAGGTCCCACCCTGGAGTAGACGGCATCCTGCGTCGAATCCTCGGTGAAGGCATGGTCCACCTGCACCTGCACCTCCTTCCACTCCTTGCGGGCTTCAGATGGAGTTTTGCAGACGGGTCTCGGGTTAAGGGGCGTAGAGCCATTTGTAGATTTGCACCTCCTTCCACTCCTTGAAGGGAATGCTGCAGATGGAACTTTTAATCGGGGTTTCGGGTTTGGGGTTTTGGGCTTAGGGTTTATGGCGATTCACTGTCGGGTTTAGATAGATTTGCACCACCTTCCACTCCTTGCGGGATGGCTTTCAATGGAGTTTATAGTTTAGGGACTTTGCACCGCCCCTTGCAGCGTGGCCTTAGATGCAGTGCAGGGCCTAGGGCTTCGGGAATCTGTAGCACTCTTTGCAGGTGCTCTAGATTCTCTAGATGGAGCTTCATGGGGGCTTAGAGCTTTTACTCTTTGCGGGTTTCTTTGAATCGGGTTCTCATGGGGTTGCAAAGCGTGTATAAATTTACAGGGCGTTCACTCATCTTGGAAACAAAAGGAGCTTAGGGTCAACGAGGTTCTGAAAAGTCTTGTTCAAACTTTGTATCGGTTGATTTTGCCTTCCTCAAACACCAACCCTTCTTAAACCCTAAACCCTGAAACCCTAGCTGTACCCTGAACCCAAACTAAACCCTAAACCCTGACTAAACCCTAAACCTAAACTGTAATTGAACCGTAAACCCTAAACCTAAACCCTAGTTGAACCCTAAACCCCACACCTAAACCCTAATTACTAACTGAACCCTAAACCCCAAACCCGAAACCCTAAGCCCTAACACAACCCTGAAGCCTAGGCCACCCCACTCCTCCTTGCTTTGGGACTTCCAGGGGAACTTGATGGTGTGCTCCCCTTCCAGGCTGATCCGGCGAGATGCGGGCTCCTCCTGTTGAGGGTTTAGGGTTTAGGGTTTAAGGCTTAGGGCTCAGGGTTTTGGGCGTTGTTTCAGGTTTTGGGTTTAGGGTTTAGGGTTTAGGGTCTTAGGGTCTTGGGGTCTTAGGGCTTAGGGCGCTTAGGGCTCAGGGTGTTAGGGTTTTTCTGTTTAGGATCTTTTAGGGTCTAGAGTTTCTTGGTTTAGGGCCTAGGGTTTCAGGGTTTCAAGTTTCGGGCGTGGGGTCTAAACTCTAAGCCCTGAAGGGCTCCTCCTGAACCCTAAACCCTGAACCCTGAACCCTAAACCCTAAACCCTAAACCCTAAACCCTAGACCCTAAACCCTATACTATACCCTAAACCCTGAACCCTAAACCCTAAACCCTGAACCCTAAACCCTAAACCCTAAACCCTAGACCCTAAACCCCATACTATACCCTAAACCCTGAACCCTAAACCCTAAACCCTGAACCCTAAACCCTAAACCCTAAACCCTAGACCCTAAACCCTATACTATACCCTAAACCCTGAACCCTAAACCCTAAACCCTGAACCCTAAACCCTAAACCCTAGACCCTAAACCCTTTAGGGCTCCTCCTGGTCACGGCGGCGCCCGAGAAGTACCGGCACCTCGGTGTCGCTCGCTGGGATGCCGGGCCCTTTCAGCGCCGGAAGCTTCACCTCAAGGGCTCCCCCTTAAGAAGGGCACCTCCTTCATAGGGGCTCCCTTATAAAGGGTACAAGGGCTCCCCCTTGATAAGGGCTCCCTCTTAACAAGGGCCCCCTTAAAAAGGGCTCCCCTTAATAAGGGCTCGTTTAAGGGCAACCTTAGCAAGGGCGCCTTCAAAACTAGGGCCCCAGAGAAGGACATGGGGTTTAGGGTCATCGGTTGCAGGTTTAGGCCTTAAGGATTTCTTTCGTTTGACTTTAGGATCTCTTCCCTTGTATGGCTCTCTTGTGGGTTTAGGGTTTAGGGTTTAGGGTATGGCTTTCTTTTAGGTTTAATTAGGGTTTAGGGTATGGCTTTCTTTTGGGTTTTTTCATGCAACGCACCTTTGACTCCAGCAGGCTCTTTTGGGTTTAGGGTTTAGGGTATGGCTTTAGTTTGTGGCGTGGGGGCTTGTTGGCCTCCGTCGGAGGCCGAAACCGCACGTAGACGCGGGGCCGGCCGTGCATTGCTTCACAAGGCAGGGAAGCCGGCCAGGCTCGTCTTGAGCCCTGTCGCAGTAAAGGCGTATACTCTACCTGTCAGTGCTCTTGTGGTGTTCTAGGGTGTCTCTACTTCCTAATTAAGGCCCTGGGCTAGAGGAACCCTTCGATCCAAAAGCACTAAGGCCCTCTGAAGTTTCGACCCCTCTGAGATTTATGGCTGTGACGTTTTGGGCATAGAGGGGCTTGTCCTGTCTGGGAAGGCTTCAACCTTTGGGTTTCGGTGCCGGCTGAGTTATGCCCCAAGAACATGAAACCCCATGACGGCGCATCCACACGGACCCTAAGTTTGAAAACACCAACACCTCCCGGAATCCCACCGGCACCACCTCAGCACAGCTCGCTCTCGGACGGTGACTTCTGACCTCAGGCGCCGCTCATACGGACACGAAGCGATTTCAGGCATTCTCCGGATCCCTGGGCCCTCAGAGCCCACTTTCGAGCCAGGCAGACGAAGTACCAGCATCACTTGCTTCCCCTGGCTCCGAGACGCAGGCTAGCGACCTCTGACCTGCGCAGCATCATCACCACAGTCAGCATTACTACTATCGACCGTAGTATCAGTGTTGGTGTGGTTGCCATTGCCAGGCTCAACACCGAATCTGCATATCAATGCGTCATAATCTGTCGCCTCACCACTGCCGCTGCCTCCTCTTACTCATCCTCAGTTGTTTGGCCCCCGAAACCCTAAACCGCATACTGTGGTCATAACAGCACCGCCACTTGAAGCAAAAGCGTTTTTGCACCGCTCGGCCAGAAAGTTGCGCCCACAGTCAGCAGATATACAAAACTAGTCCAGACCATGCATCATTTCAACTAACTCCTCTCCTTCTGACTTTCACCTGAACCCCGAAACCCTAAATTCAATTTGCACACGAATGAACCTAGGCTAGGCTGAGATGTGGGCATGGCCCACAGCGCTCGGCACAACGGGACTAGACGCAAGGCTAAGCGAAGGCACGAGGAGAACCAAGCTGCATGGTGTGTCTGTGTGTCCGTGTGTCTGTGTCTATGTACATGTAAATGATCATGTATGTGTACATGTACATAAATTTCTGTTCATGTACTGTATATTTCTGTATATTTTTATCTAAATATTTAGTTATGTGTATATATATATATACACTGATAAATATGTATGCATATATTTGTATGTTGTGATCACAATATGTCTATTTGTATTAGTATACATAGTTAATTCTGCCTTTATAATAGTATTATGGCCATCTATATATATATATATATATATATAGATGTACACGTGTATGTATGTACATGTAGGTATAAACGCGTATTGTATATATATATATATATATGCTGTATGAATACATTTACATGCATATCTATGTGTGTATCTATGTACACAACATGTATATGCTGATTATGAGCATGATTATGAGTAGTATTGTTTCGTTGCTAACCCTTCTGGGGGAGGCTACGTACTATGAGCATTCCTGGACTGGGGTTTAGCGTTTAGGGTGTAGGGCTTTAGGGTGTAGGGCTCCGGGCGAGTTCTGAAAAGTTGAAATGCGACTCTGGGAACATGGCCTTCGCGCCACGTTACCTTCCGGGCTGCACGCCTTTCGGGAAGCAGCCCCCGAAGGTTCGAAACAGGGAACAGGTCGGAACTCCGACAATTGGGGGCTTCTGGCCTGGTAATACGAGTAGGCTAAAAGGCCTACAGAGCTGCAGCTGGAAATGAAGCACTCGTGACTCCACATCAGCCGCCCACTAAAAAGCGGTCTAGGGCTTTAAGGTTGAGGTCCATATAGATCAAGATCTTTCCAACACCTTACGGAACTCTCTTTCCAAGATCTTACGGGTCTCGCTTTGTTCATGCCGGATCTGGCTTTGGTCATGCCGAATCCGAGACAGTTCACTCTGCATCTCCCACTGCCTGTGTTCTTGTTGAGCAACTTTAACAAGTTACCCTACTTAACAAGAACTAAGTTACATTAAGTTACCATAATCAGGAAACCCTTGTTATTTACTAAAGATTCCTGTGATGTTAGCTTACATTACATAAGAGCCCAGCTACACTTCCCAAAGCTTCAGATTCTTCGCCGGACCCCGCAGCCGCATGATGCCATGGATAAACTCTCTCTCCTCCACATCCTTGTCCTGATTCTCGTCGATGAGCTTAAAGAGACGGCGAGCTCGCTTGCGGACATCCTCCGTCGAAATGTCAAGCTGCTCGAACAGCTCTTTGATCCTCCGGGCCAAGAGACAAACCGCACCACTCAAAGCTCTGGAGGATGCTCTACCCTGCTGCAAAGCAACACCATAGGTTCCTCCACTTCCTCTCCGTCATCGGCATCACGATCAGCATCAGCAGAAAAAGCTTCGAGTTCGTCCTTGACACCATCGCCTGCATCACCCATTCAGCATCAGATACGTCACCTTATCCTCATCATCAAGGCAAGAGAACACCGATCTCGCCTGCGATCTTTCAGGGCCTCTGTGAACCTGTCCAGGCTGATCCGATTTCTCCCATCCGTTATCCTGGGCTCTTGTTCTTGTTTCAAAAAGGGGGTTAAGAGGTGCAATTCGCTCTTCTGGATGTTATGACGATTTCCTTACCACAAATTGACTGACTTCCTTAACCAGGAGCGAGTATCTCGCGAAAGAGTCGTTTAAGCCGCCCTTCCACTTGATCTGCGCTGGCTGTCTCCACGGCTTTTTGACACAGGTGGGCCGTCAACACCGTCATCATCATTAAGTAGATCAGAGTCATGTAGGCACAGATGATGAAGCAGGCGAGGGGACTGACGGATCGGATCGGCCTCACGAGGTCGTCAAAGTCAAGGCCTCCGAAGGTCCCCATGAAGACGTTGTACATGCTCTCCCAAATCGACACAAAGTGCTCCCCGCAGGATCCGACCACGTCAGGGTCCTGCTGCCTACATGCGTCTGCAACCACGGCCGTTACCAAAGTGGCAACAGTGGAGATCGAGAACAACAGCACGAACACTGCCGAAACGAGGGGCACCACCGCCCCTTTGATGAGATCCATCTGAACCTGTCGCATGATGACACACAAAGGGCACAGGGAGCAGCTTTTTCAAGTCCAAGAAAGCGCCTGCCTTCATGCTTGCGAAGGCGGGGATGAAGCGCAGGCAGCGCACGATGCGAAACCAGCGCAGGTACTGGGCGATGCGCAAGTAGGCCGTGGCATGAACCTCACTCCCAGCTGCGAGCCGCGCTACCATGGAGACGCCGACATCAACTCCCTGCATGCAGATCACCACCAGGTCCGAGACCAAGAGCACGTCTGGGCGTGGAGATCTGCGCAGCCTGAAAACCATCTCAAGGGTGAAGACAAGGAACACGACAAGATTCGCCCACACAAAGAAGTCGGGAACATCGTGCAGGCCGTAGCGCGCGCAGGAGTCTGCCTCCGCGGCCAGCAGGACCATACTGCTCACGATCAGCAGGATGACGGCGCAGCTGATGCGTGCAGAATCCATTCCTAGCCCCCGCCGGCAGCCTGGCTCCGTAGAACCACTCGAGTTGAGCGGTGTGACATCCTGAAAAGGAGAGCAGAAAAGGAGCAAGAACAAATGCACAAGCTGCAACTACCACGAACTCAAAGTGTAAAGTCCTTCAACCAGCCGGAAAGTCGAAAAAGAACATCGCATGTGACTGTTCTTGTTGCGATGCCTCTTGGGTGGAACACTTGGTCAGCTGCATCAGTACTAGGACGACTCCAACCAGACTACGCTGGTGACTAGTAAGAAGCTTACCGCTTGCGCCCGTTTGAACTCTAAATTGTGTCGGCTCGGCGACGGACTGGAACTGTGGACTTAGAATCAATGCCATGGAAGCGCATGCAAACACGACGCCACTAAATGCTGCTCCGCTGCGTGCATACGATCACTGTGGCGGCGAGCAGCGTCACGATCATGATCGCTTTGGGGATCCTTGTCGCGGTCACCACCGTCGCCGCGAACATCTCCTCCCAGGCGGGGCATCAAAGGACTGCTGCAGCCTGTGGCATCGAAGGTATGCTAGAAGACCAGTAACACGAAAAGGATTCATCCACTACACTACTACTACTACTACTACTACTACTACTACTATTATTATTCTTACGACAATTACTATTGCTATGAGTCTTACTATTACCATTACCATCACTATTACCACTGCCGCCACTTATTATTGGAAGAGCCGCCGCAGCCTGGACGGGCCCTCCGGTCGGAGGCCTGGTCTTCTTCTCTTCCGCCGGACTCCTCCGAGTGGTAGTCACGGTTTAGGGTTTCGGGTTTAGGGTTTAGGGTTTAGGGTTTCGGGTTGAGGGTTTAGGGTTTAGGGTTTAGAGTTTAGGGTGTAGGGTTTCGGGTTTAGGGTTGAGGGTTTAGGGTTTAGGGTTTCGGGTTTCGGGTTGAGGGTTTAGGGTTGCAGTAGAAGCAGTTGTAGCGGTAGCAGTGACCGTGTCGGTAGGGGTAGTGGTGGTGCTCATGGTTGTGGTAGCAGCGTCTCTTTCTGATGTCCAACAAACGTTTCGAAAAATTGCACAACATTGCAGTCTCGAGTTTGGTCATGGTAAGAAACGAGCTCCAATGAAAACATGAGCAAGCGAAGACGACACTGAGCGCCCGAGGAATGAAGGTACGCAGTGCTATCATCGCTGAGGGCTGCTGCCTTCTACTAGCTGGATATCAAAACAATCATCACAAGACCTGGTGCAATCAAAACTGTATCCACGGCAATCGCAAAACAAGAGAAACACTGTACGACGCAAAGAAAACCAGGAAAAACGGTAATTAATGACGACATGCCAGGCCTGGCCTCCACGCGGCCGCGATGGCGTGTCGGGCTCTGTTCACCGTCTGGCTCTGCTTGGATATTTTCTGCAACAGCCACGTCGATGCTCCGCGGGGAGACGGGTTCCGGGGTCGGAGTGCATCCATAGCTCAACGTACTGGTGGTGATGCTCCTTCCCTTGGAGTTTGCTTTCCCTGCCAAATTTGACCCTGCCCTTGGAAAGCGAACAGCTACTTCGGCAAGCCGCGGGCGCCTGAGCAAGGCCTTTGTCAAAGCCTTTGTAAGCCTTCGAACCTCTCGCCGGTCTTGTTGCAAGGCCGCTTTCAGGCCTCTTAGCTCCCTCAGCTCCTGCCGCAACTCATCGGTAGCTTCACGCGTGCAGGTCGAGAAAAGGTCCCAGCTAAGAATCCCTGCGGCCATGGCTTCGAAGCGTGCGCCCTTAAGTGTTCTATCAGGGTTCTATACAGGCTTCTATACTGATGACTGTAAGTGGTGTTACCAAGGCTGCTGCAAGGGCTTCTATAACGGTTGCTACGAGGGTGCTTTGAGGATTACTTTACTACTATAAGGGCAACTACAAGGGTTACCAGAAGGGTTCTGGGTGGGCTCCTTTAAGGGGACACCTTGAAGCCGAAAGCTGTGGGACGGGCATGCTCGCGAACGCGAGGTCGTCAGGGAAAGCCCCGTACACGTGGAGCTACTCATGCTATGCCGAAGTGAGATGTACTTCATTCATCAGTGCGACACACCGGAACCCTAGACCCCAACATGCCAAAACCCCAAAGCCGCTAAACCCAGCATAACCTCAAACTCGCTCTGAGGGAGCAGAGCGCTGCCTTCAGCCGGCCGTAGAAACACCCATGGCTCGCACACCACAGAAAGCAACTCTTTTGGGTTTTTTTGGCATCGGCTATTCAGGTTCTACAAGGGCTCTCTGTAAGGGCTGTAAGCGGTTCACGGGGCTCAAACGGGGCTTCGAGCCCAGGGCATGTGGAATGAAACACCAACTCCTAGGCAACAGATCCTGTTTGAGGGACGATTGTCAAGATCGCTACTGCAGCAGAATGACCCTTAGCGACTCATTTGTTTATCGAGAACGTGACGCCAAACTGAACCTTAAACCCTAAACCCTAGACCCTAAACCTCAAACCCTAAACCCTAAACCTAATTCTCCTGGCCGACCGAGAGAAACATCCGCCGGAAAAACCGCTCAATGTATTCCTCTGACAGAACCAGGCCCCTCCTTTGCTAAGGACCAAGATAAAGGTACATAAGATCCGAAAATCCCTGTCCTCTAAGAAATGCGGTTTTCGATCAGGGGCCTACTTTATCCTCCAAAACAAAGGTCCTGAGCTGCCCAAGACGATACAACACGGAAACGCAACCCCAAATCCTATTTAAACCCAAAGCCCTTAACCCCAAGACACTAATACCCCAGATCCTAAACCCAAAGAGACCCTTTCAAACCCCCCAATAGGAGTATAGAACGCCTTTACGCCCGCAAAAGAACCCAACCAGGTCCCCCAGCAGCCGCGAGGCTCCAAGGGGCTTCGGCTTCGGGTTGAAGGTTCTAGCGTTTTGGGGGATGTTTGGGGTTTAAGGCTTCAGGGTTTCCGGGTTTGGGGTGTAATCCTAAACCCTAAACCCTAAAACCCTAAACCCTGAACCGAGGTTCTGGGGTTTGGGGTTAAGGCTTCAGGGTTTCAGGGTTTGGAGTTTAATGTTTTAGGGGCTCCCTGGCTGGGCTTTTGGGGCTCAAAGGGGTGATGCGGGTGTTCTGGCTTTTGGGAACTGGGGTTTCGGGGGTAGGTCAGGTTTCAGATCTTTTTTTTGGGAATGGAGGGCTTATATAGGGCGTAGGGTTTTGGGATAGGGCTTAGTTAAGGGCAGGGGGTTTCGGAGTTCTCCCTGAAAGGGCCCTTTTAAGCCATCCCTTGAGGAGTGATCGAGTCCCTGCACGAATTCGGGAGAGCGAGGCTTCGCGCCACGGTCAGCCATAGGCTCGGATGATGTTCCTGCAGGTGACTGCAGATCTCCATGACTCGATGCCCGCCCCTAAGCCCTATAAACCCTACAGAAGCCTGCGATGGAGACGCGCATCGGTTCGACGGCCTGCGGTGCAGGCAACCCTTCGCAAACTTGCTTCTTCAGTTCCTTTGGCTTGTCTGCCAAGGCCAGCACGTTCCGGAAAAACCTCTTCACCCTTCCTGGGAAGCAGGGCGCACTGCATTGAGGATGACCCTTGATCTGATGTTGTACTGAACTGAGTCGACTGGCATTGGGCGCCGGCGGAGACGTGCTGCAGGCTTACCTGGCCTTGCAACTAAGCAATCCGAAGTATTTTGAAGACGAGCTGGTTCATGTGTGGTCCCTCTTCCCTCCCTCTCCCTGCCCTGCCTGTCCAGATCAGGTACCTGGGATGCAAGGAAGCACCGGCGCCTGCACTGCTAAACTCGAAAGCGCAGTCGTGCTGCAAGACGGTGGGTGTTCGGCTTGTTTGCGGTCTTGCAGGTTTCGGATCAAGGAAGCCAAGCAACACCGTCGTGGTCAACTGGAAAGACTGTACGCTCAGGTCCACCTGAACATCTGCGATGAGGACGGACACGGATTTAGGATTTGTGTGATCACGGTGTTAGGGTTCGGCTACTCAGAAGTTGTTCTGCGACAGTGTGGAGCCTGCGTCTCTGAGTTGCGGATGAGAACGAACCTGACACGGAAAGGTACAGGTTCCAAACTGTGCCGCATTACGGGCAGCCGCACCTCGGTTCTGCTCTCACGTTGTCCCTTTTTGCCTGCAGCCGATACATAAGATTTGCTGCCGACACCGCTGCTTGCCCTGCACCCTTGTCACCGCAGTGAGCCTGACATGCCAATGAAAGTGGAGTACGAATTCGAGTTCGACGTTGAAGCTGCAGCAGATTTCATTCCTCATATGAGAAAGCTCGTTGCACTAGACAAGCATGCAGCGACCAAGAAACCTGATAGTCCGACACGTGCAGGCATGGCGGCCACTGTCCGCAGTCTTCGCCCTTTGATCATTCTCCGTCGATGGAACATTGGCAGCAGTTCCACGATTCTCCTGCCAGGAACACACTTTCACAAGGGGTGTCACGGGTTAAGCTGTAGGGTTGGTTCAGGGTATCGGGTTTGGGGCTTCTGGGGTTTGGGGCGAAGCTTCATAAGAACCCCAGCAAAAGCACGCGACTGACGCCTCACCCTAAACCCTAAGTCTGCCAAGCACATCCCGGGACTTCAGCGCATCTGATCTAAGGCGGCCTTGGATTCCGCTGCCCGTTTTTGTGACGGGCCTCGGTGTAGCATCAATCTTTGGGTTTAGGGGTTTAGGGATCATAATCTTCAGAAGGGGCCTAAGAAAAATATGAGGCCTCTGAGGACGGTGAGACTCAGAATGCTCATCCTCACGTCGGTCATTCTCATGATGACCATGACCATGCCCATGATCCTAAACCCAGACTCTTAAACCCGAAGGAGGAGGAGGATAGGGATGAGGATGCTGAAGTCGACGAGATAGTAGCAAGGACGAGAGGACGGCAAGGCGGACCAGGACAACGATCTGTGGTGATTCAGTGATGTGGTTGTCATGGCTCGGGGTGGCCGTACCAGTAGTGGTAGCAGTAGCACCAGCAGTAGCAGAAATACCAGTAGTAGCAGCAGTAGTCGTCGCCGTTGTCGTATTCGAAGCAGCAGGGCAGTAACAACAGCAATAGTACTAATCAAGCCCGAAACCCTTGAACTTGAACCCTTAAACTCTTGAAACCGTCAATCCCAAACCCCAAAAACCCTAAAACCCCAAAACCCTAAACCCCAAACCCTAAAGCCCTACACCCTAAACCCTAAAGCCCTAAAGCAAAAAAAAAAAAACAGCAATGCTGCACTCTCTTGCAATCTCCAGCCCGGGGACCCGGACCCGGCGTGCTTGAGGCAGGCAAAGGCCTCGGTGCTCAGAATAGACGGTTTAGGGTTTAGGGTTTAGGGTTTAGGGTTTAGGGTTTAGGGTTTAGATGTGGAGGGCTCTAGGGGGGTTTATAGGGCTCTAGGGGCTTATAGAGCTCTAGGGGTTTGTTTATAGGGCTTTAGGGTTGAGGAGTTTAGGGTTTAGGGTTCAGGGGTGTAGGCTGTAGGGTTTGGGGTCTCGAGATGTATGGCTGTGGAGTTGGGGGTTTAGCGCTGCAGAAACCTTCTCACAGAGCACTACACCTCCAAGAACCCCTAAACTGCGTGAGAATTTCTAAAAACAACTTGAAGGCTTCAATCCGAAAAGCTGCACCCAAAATTCTACTGACCCTAAATCCCCCAAGCCCTGAACCCCTGAACCCTAAACCCTAAAAACTCCTAAACCCTAAACCCTAAACCCCTAAGCCCTAAACCCCTAAACCCTCAAACCCCTAAATAGCCTATATCCCCTGAACACTACGAGAAAAAGCTTCATCCAAGCGGCTCATCATCTGGCCGTCGAGGCACGAACTTGGGCTTGACGTTGTTGATCGTCTTCTCCTTGCAGATCAAGGGGTGGGCGTTTAGGGTTTAGGGTTTAGGGTTTGGGGTTTAGGGTTTGGGGTTCAGGGTTTTGGGGTTTGGGGTTTAGGGTTCGGGGTTTAGGGTTTAGGGTTCGGGGTTTTGAGTTTAGGTTTTAGGGTTTTGGGGCTTCTGCAAAGTTTAGGGATTCAGGGTTTTGGACTTGGGGTTCACGGAGGGGGGTTCCGCCTCCCAAGAAACTAGGAAGCATAGGCTTATGCTGACCAGCATCTTCCTAACCCGAAACTCTAAAACCCTGAATCCCTGAGACCCCAACACCACAAAACCCCAAAAGCCCTGAAACCATAAAAACCTCAGAGATCCTGAAACCAAAGAACACCCTTAAAACAAAAAGCCTAGGGACCCTAAAAGGCCCTAAACCCCTCATCCCTCAAAGGAGGCCCCCATCCCTGCGGCTCACCTGCACGGGAACCTCCTTCGGAGCCCCTTGTGGGCTCCAAACGATGTTGTCCAGCATAATGGACTCCTGGGGTCGGAAAAGAAAGGGGCTCCTTCCAAAGGGATTTTTTAAAGAACAACCTAACTCCTAAAGCCTAAAGGGATCGGTAAGGGTTTCGCTAGGGTTTCTGTTAATGGTGCTGTATGATGGACTCCTGCCTGTCGTGAAATTTTGGTGTTTAGGGTATTTGTGTGTGTTTTTTTTTTTGAGGCGCTAGGGCTTAGGGTCTTGTGACGACCATAATGGGGATATATAGCAAAGCGTAATCTGGTTCCCCTATGACGGCTGAAACCCTAAACCCTACAGAAAGGGACGCTAACTCTAAACCCTAAACCACGAAACTCAAAACCATAAGCCCTAAACCCTAAACCCTAAACTCTAAACGCTAAACCACGAAACTCAAAACCCTGAACCCTAAACCCTAAACTCTAAACCCTAAACCACGAAACTCAAAACCCTAAGCCCTAAACCCTAAACCCTAAACCAAACCTCTCCACACTATCCCAGGCTCTGCTGCGGTGTGCTCTCGACCTGCCCCGGCGTGAGCGGTGGAGTCTGGGGTCTCGGGTCGCTAAGCTTAGGGCTTTAGAGTTTTAGGGCTTTAGGG